TGCAGAGCCATTTGAGGAGAGCTGAGCTCCAGAGAGGGGGAGCACGAGCTGTCGCTCCTCCTCCTGTAAGCTGTTTTAATGCGTACACCAACCCCACCCCTAACCCTACCCCCAGTGACATCACTCGTAGAAGAAGTGCAAAAAAGGTGGAGCTCAAGCTTAAGCTCCCCCTCTCTGGAGCTCACCTCTCCTCAAATGGCTCTGCAGTGAGCACCACTTGAAAAAAGTTGACGCCACCCCCAACTGTCAGTGTGTAATTCGCACACCGACGATATCGATGGTGAAACGATTGTGAATCCTCTCAATGCAGAATAACCTTGTAAATGTATATTAATTTAAGAGATAAAATTATTATTATTATTATTATTATTATTATTATTATTATTGAAAGAAATGAGCGCTGCAGCTCTCAGAGTGTCCATTGGATGTCGCTGTTTCTCCGCTTCACACTGAACTCTTTCAATCACTTCCTGTGCTGCACATTCCCATAACAACAACTCCAGCAGCAATGAAACTTGTGGACTTTCACTTCTCCAGCTCACGGAGACACTTTAGCGGCACAGAAATCCACACAAACCAGTGATTTATCACGGAGAGAGGCTAATGTCACCGCTGCTGCTTACAAACTTACAAACACTGGACTTTTATTGTAAGTTCTGCTTTTGAGGCTAGCCGTCATGCTAGTTAGCCTTCGACTGACAACAGGATGAACTCAAATTACACCTTAAATTAGCTAGCTTTTATTTAAGGCAGGTAAATAAGAGTCTCCAAGCTTCAGTTTGGCGATGTGGAGGTCACATACTTGTGAATGACCGCGTTTAATAGCTTTGTATGTGTGTAATATTGATAGTTTATTATTAGCTCGCGCTAACTCCAGTAGTAACAGTTGTTTGGACATGGTTTTTGGGGATATTTGTGATGAAGGGAGTCTGGCCGGGTGTTTACGAGTGATTTGAGGAACTCTTTGTTCACGGGAGGAAGATGAGGAAGAGGAAGATGATGGCGATGAAGATCAGCTAAACAGGGAACTGCTGATTATAAGGACACACAATCAGGACAAAAATGCCCAGGAGAAAACAGTCCAATCCTCAGCCTGTCAAGTGTAAGTTTTCAATTGATTTCACTTCTATTAACAGTTTAATGTTGTCTTTAACTCCATCGAGGTTTTTAAACTCCTCTTAAAAGCCTGTACATACTTTATAATATTGAAAATTATCTTCATATCTTTATTGATATTTAGAAAGTAGTTCAATCCTCAGTCTGTCAGTCGTGTAAGGTTACATTCACATCTCATTTAATTTCACTTCTATTAACAGTTATAATGTTGTCTTTAACTTCACTTTTAGTTTAATTTACTGTGGGATAAAGCTTGTGACATGCTCCTTATAATGTTTACCATGGTACTATGAATATTCTCTCTGAAATAACATGTAGCTATGACTTGAAAACCACATTAGCACTATTTATTTGACTGTGATAGTCATTAACTGCTAAAATGATTTCAGTATTCAGCAAATAATAATTCTCTGGAATTATATTATTAAGCAGAGAGCTGAATGTGTGAATATAAAACCAACTTTACCTCAATGATTGTGTTTATTTCTTTTAATAATAATCAACAAGAGCACTCAAACGGAGTGTTATTCTCTTATTTCAATCTATCATTACCTGAGTTTTTTTATAACTCCTATTAAAAGCCTGCACATACTTTTTAATATTGAAAATGATCTCCATATCTTTATTAATGTTTAGAAAGTAGTTCAATCCTCAGTCTGTCAGTCAAGTGTAAGGTTACACTCACATCTCATTTGATTTCACTTTTATTAACAGGTTTAATGTTGTCTTTAACTTCATTTTAGTTTATTTACTGTGGGATAAAGCTTGTGACATGCTCCCTATAATGTTTACCATGTTACTATGAATATTCTCTCTGAAATCACATGTAGCTATGCCTTAAAAAAACATTAGCACTATTTTTTGACTGTGATAGTCATTGGCTGCTAATATGATTTCAATATTCAGCAAATAATAATTCTCTGAAATTATATTAAGAAGAAAGTCTGAATGTGTGAATATAAAACAGACTTTGTGTCAATGATTGTGTTTATTTCTTTTAATAACAGTCAACAGGAGCATACAAACGAAGTGTTATTCTCGTATTTCAACCTATCATTATCTGAGGTTTTTAAAACTCCTCTTAAAAGCTTGTACATATTTTCTAATATTATAAGTCATCTCCAAACCTTTATTAATATTTAGAAAGTAGTTCAATCCACAGTCTGTCAGTCAAGTGTAAGTTTACATTCACATCTCATTTGATTTAACTTTTATTAACAGGTTTAATGTTGTCTTTAACTTAATTTTAGTTTACTTACTGTGGGATAAAGCTTGTGACATGCTCCCTATATTGTTTACCATGGTACTATAAATATTCGCTCTGAAATCACATATAACTATGACTTGAAAACAACATTAGCACTGTTTATTTGACTGTGATATTCATTGGTTGTTAATATGATTTCAATATTCAGCAAATAATACTTCTCTGGAATTATATATTAAGAAGAAAGTCTGAATGCGTGAATGTAAAACCGACTTTGTGTCAATGATTGTGTTTATTTCTTTTAATAATAATCAACAAGAGCGTACAAACTGAGTGTTATTCTCGTATTTCAACCTATCATTATCTGAGGTTTTAAAACTCCTCTAAAATGCTTCTACATATTTTCTATTATAAGTCATCCCTGTATCTTTATTAATATGTAGGAAGTAGTTCAATTCTCAGCCTGTCAATCAATTTTTAAGGTTACATTCACATCTCACTTGATTTCATTTCTATTAAGTGTTATAATGTTGTCTTTAACTTCATTTTAGTTTAATTTACTCTGGGATAAAGCTTGTGCCATGCTCTTTTCATTGTTTACCATGTTACTATAAATATCCGCTCTGAATTCACATGTAACTATGACTTGAAAACCACAATAGCACTATTAATTTGACTGTCATAGTCATTAACTGCTAAAATGATTTCAGTATTTAGCAAATAATACTTCTCTGGAATTATATTATTAAGCAGAGAGCTGAATGTGTGAATATAAAACCAACTTTACCTCAATGTTTGTGTTTATTTCTTTTGGCAATACCCAACAACAGCATAAAAAGAGGGTGTTATTCTCATATTTCAATCTATCATTACCTGAGGTTTTTAAAACTCCTCTTAAAAGCTTGTACATATTTTCTAATATTATAAGTAATCTCCGAATCTTTATTAATATTTAGAAAGTAGTTCCATGCACAGTCTGTCAGTCAAGTGTAAGGTTACATTCACATCTCATTTGATTTCACTTTTATTGACAGGTTTATTGTTGTCTTTAACTTCATTTTAGTTTATTTACTGTGGGATAAAGCTTGTGACATGTCCCCTAACATTATATTGTTTACCACGGTAATGAATATTTGCTCTGAAATAACATGTAGCTATGCCTTGAAACAACATTAGCACTATTTTTTTACTATGATAGTCATTGGCTGCTAATATGATTTCAGTATTCAGCAAATAATACTTCTCTGGAATTATATTATAAAGGAGAGAGCTGAATGTGTGAATATAAAACCAACTTTACCTCAATGATTGTGTTTATTTCTTTTAATAATAATCAACAAGAGCACTCAAACAAAGTGTTATTCTCTTATTTCAATCTATCATTACCTGAGGTTTTTATAACTCCTATTAAAAGCCTGCACATACTTTTTAATATTGAAAATGATCTCCATATCTTTATTAATATTTAGAAAGTAGTTAAATTTTCAGTCTGTCAGTCAAGTGTAAGTTTACATTCACATCTCATTTGATTTCACTTTTATTAATAGGTTTAATGTTGTCTTTAACTTCATTTTAGTTTATTTACTGTGGGATAAAGCTTGTGACATGCTCCCTATATTGTTTACCATGGTACTATGAATATTCTCTCTGAAATCACATGTAGCTATGACTTAAAACAACATTAGCACTATCTTTTGACTGTGATAGTCATTGGCTGCTAATATGATTTCAATATTCAGCAAATAATAATTCTCTGGAATTATAAAGGAGAAGGCTGAATGTGTGAATATAAAACCGACTTTACCTCAATGATTGTGTTTATTTTTTTTAATAATAATCAACAAGAGCATTCAAACGGAGTGTTATTCTCAGAATTCAATATATAATTGTCTGAGGTTTTCAAAACTCCTGTTAAAGGCTTGTACATATTTTCTGGTATTGAGAATCATTTCCATATCTTTATTAATTATAATTAGAAAATAGTTCAATCCTCAGGCTGTCAGTCAAGCGTAAGTTTACATTCACATCTCACTTGATTTCATTTCAATTAACAGGTTAAATGTTGTCTTTAACTTCATTTTAGTTTAATTTGCTGTGGAGAAAAAGCATGATTGTGTTCATTTTTTTTTCAATAATCATTAAGAGCGTACAAATGGAGTGAAATTCTTAAAGTTCAATCTTTCTCTCATTATCTAATGGTATTGAGGTAAATTTAGTTTTATATTGCGGACATTTGTTCAGTGATAACTTGTGACATGCTTCCTATATTGTTTACTATGGTACTTTGAATATTCGGTCTGAAATCATATGCAAGTATGACTTCAAAACAACATTAGCACTACTTTGACTGTAAACACTGATGTACTTTTAGTCATTGGCTGATAATATGATTTCACGAGGGATGAGCAACATGGTCAAATTAATCATATTGCAATTTTATGAAAGAATATTGCGATTGCGATTTTGGCAACTGTTTTTGCTTTTTCAAACACGCTACATACGTACATTTTAAATGTATTCAGTGCACAAGTAGTGCATAATAAAACATTTGACAATGAAGAAACATAGTAAGTTTAATAAACAAAACTGTAGTAAAATTGTCTTTAAAACAGACAACATAAAATAAATGAAAATAAATATAATATAAATATAAATATAAAATAAATAAAATAAATCTTCACAAAGTCCCCATGATGCTAAAGAACTTTTAGATGTATTTTCTCCAGTGTGATCTTCTGAGAAGAATGCTGTTTGCCAACATCGACTTTTCATTTCAAAGTTGTCATTAATATAGTGGACTGTTACACTCATGTACAGCTCCATTGTTCTGCTGGACCACATATCTGTGGTCGTGGCAAAGAAATCAGTAAACCTGCTTGAGCTTGTGTTCAACGCCCGCCTTACATTTCTCATACATTTCGGTAATAGCAAATCGTGTGAAATGAGTGCAAGAAGGCAGCCGGCATCTTTTGTCAAGTGTTTGTATTAGTCTTTGGAAGCAGTCTTTACTGACGATGTGCGCAGGCATCATATCTTTGCATATGTGATTGCGTCTGTTGTGCCGTTTTGACCGTTTCTCATAAGACATGGGACTTGCAAATGCTTGAATAATGGATACTTCAGTTCTTCAGTCTGTTTGGGCTGGCTTTGATGTGTGCTTTTGTTTGTTGGGATGGACTTTGTTGACATGCATTGATCATGCAATTTTTTTTTATGATGCTGTTTTTTCCCGGACTTGTCCTCTATTTGGGACCTCAAAATGAATTCAGCCAAGATTTCTAAATCGCCTAGCATTTCTCGGATTCTGCTTTCGTTTTCTTTAGCGGAGTGCACATGAGTTAGCAGTTCTGTCTCTATTTACATCGTCTACTTTTCCCTTGTGGGCAGTAGGGTGAAGTCCGTGCAATATATTATGCATATAAAATGAGTTTTGAAAAATAAAATTATTCTTAAAAGTCACATTATTTTATGTGCTGTGGAGAAAAGGTGTTGTTCAATCCATCTACTGCAAGTATATTTGTTACAGATAATATATGCAATATATATTATTATAAATTTAATAAGGTTTGGGAACATTAATACACCCATAATCTTCTTATAATACAAATACAGATTAAATAGATCTGATCATGTAAATGTTTGCACTAACCATACTGCACATTTTTATTAATTTAACAAAAACTTATATCTGCTCCCCTGTGTGTGAAAGATATTTGTCAGCTTGAAACTGGATCAAAAATTCATCAAGAAGCTGTGTGTGAAATTGAAACTTTAGACAC